AATATATATCGAAAAGACATTTCTAAAAGTGCTTTTAGAAGTCCTTCACACTTTTTCAGTATTTCTGTTTAGTGCATAGATCTGTTTTCTCCCTCACCAGAGGCTGTCATTTTAATTAAACTTCTCAATAGAAGTCCCTTTTGATGATTTTCAAACTAATGCCATGGCACTGTAAATTACTACATATGTGCTTAATTTTAAGCATGTGAGTGGTCCCATTGCCTTCAATACAACATCAATGGGAACCACTCATGCTCAAAATTAAGCACACCACTGTTTGCCAAATTAGAGTCTCAGACTGAAAGGATCAGCTTTTCCATTACAAATAATAGAAAGCATTGAAAATCAAGGTTCTGTAATTTTTAGAAATATATTTGCATAGTTTTGTTGTGCAAAAGCGGTTTAACTATCATTTCCTATTTATCAATTCCCAAACATGATTTTTCTAAAATTGTCAGATCAAATATGAGTGACCACCTAAATGTGAGAGTCAATGTGTGTGTGCTTATATATAGCATAATTCATTTCATTTGTGGAAAATCATGCATTTGTATAATTGTGTATGTTCCTTTTCGTGATTACTGCTCAAAGTGTACCCCTTAATTAATGGATATGGGACTCAAAGATATTATATCTCAAATAAGGAATATCCCTCCAAGTTTGGCTGGATGATCATCCTAGTCAATTCTATTAGATGTATACATAAGAAATGATTACTGACTTTTAATGCAGCTGGTCAGTTGCACCTATACCTGAAAGCAATAGAAAACAGTAATTCATACCATGGTGTACAATGGTATTATAGTACAAAGCATGTTTATTTTAGATGGCATCTTTCATATAAAAATTACTGCAAAAATACTTAAGGTAAATAATATAATAGTCAAATAGCAGAGACAGTGCAGCTGGTGTGTAGGTAGTGCGTAAGGGAGTATGGAGTCTCCTCAAATCTGAGTGTGGCAGAAGTGTGTGTGTGGAAGGTGATGGGAGATGAGAAACCCCTCCCCAGAGTACGGATGTTGTGTGGGGGGCTAAGTATCCCCTCAGTCAGAGTGTGGAATGTGGGAGATTGGGAAGCCTCTGTGGAAGGGCCAGAAGGGGTGGGGAAGCCCCTATTGGAAACATGTGGGTGTGGGAGAGGGGTTGGGTAGCCCCCCAGTCAGTATGGAAGATGGGGGGAGCTAGGGGAGACCCCTATGGAAGGGGCAGGAGGGATTGGGAAACCCATATGACAGGGGTGAGAGGATGGGGAAGCCCCCCCAGTCAGTGTAGAAGGGGGGGTTAGGAGGCAAACCCATATGACAGGGGTGAGAGGATGTGGAAGCCCCCCCAGTCAGTGTGGAAAGGGGGGTGAGGAGGCCCCATGGGCAGATGCAGGGGGATGGGGTAGCCCTCCCCAGTCAGTGTGTGTGGGGGGGTTAGGAGGCCCCTGGGCCAGATGCAGGGGGATGGGGTAGGCCCCCCCGTCAGGGTGG